AGGATCATAATAGGCTCATATTTTGATGACCATAATAAGATGATATTTATCCCATAAAAAAATGACATAATTATGACTACATTATGGTACAATAAATGAGATAAATATGGGAGAGATATGATTTAAAAATGAGCCATATACAGCACATAAATGAGTCATTCATGGCTCATTTCTCACGGCCTGGGTGCTGTCAATATATTTATCAGTTTGCGTTTCATGATAGAAAAGAGTGATAGTTATAAGTAAGAAAAGCTTTACACTGCATTAAAATACTTCTTTGTTTAACTTCGCACGTTTTAGTGGCTCTACACCCTTTTCTGTTAATGATCTAATCTGTCGTTAGGCAGAAGAGTTTAAAAACAATGCAGGCTCTGAGTTGAAATATTTCTTTATGACACAAACTGAATAAGAGCTTTTGTCTTCATGGAACACTTAAATCATAGTTGAAGTGTGTCACTCTCGTGATCAGTATAATGCATATAAAACAGAATTGTAATCATTTTTCATAGTGTGTATACCGATCAGTATGTCCCTTCAGTATCTATCATTCTATATGTAAACCATTATCAGAGGTTGTTCTCGAGTGGGGAAAAAAATGGGCATACGAATCTGTGTGCCATCACATTGTCTGAAAATTTAACGTGACTATATTTTCAAAATATGAAGAGTGGATCATTGATCTGGCATCATACTCGTCCTCCTTTCCTCTTACATAAAAAATTTTCTCCTCCTTTTACCACCTTTTTGGACAAAGTCGACTAGTTTTCCAATAGCGTTTGATCAAAGAGCCTTCTTAAGGCCTTAGTTATCATACGTTGCTTCTTATATTTGCCATGAACATAGTACCGTCTGTTCTTGTAGTGATAGCCACAATGTGATCCCGATCCTTATTGCACTAGAAGTATTTGTATGGTCAATAGAACTTTCTTATCATTGCATGGCGAGTCATCAGTAATTCTGTAGTTGGTATGTGCATTTTTCTCTTTTCTAGATCTGTTATCTATCTTTCTATCATTATCTGTCGTGTCATCAATAAGTCTTTTAACTTATATTTTCCTTTTTCTCTCTCTCTTTTTACATCGTGTATAAATATCTTGCACATTTCGAATTCAGAAGATCCTATTCATTCTCTCTAGCACGTGTTTGGTATTCTTTTTCTTCCTCTTAATTTTATAAAACAAAATTTTTTAAAGACATCAGAATAGAAATTACTCAAGAAAAGAAGACGACATAAAAAAATTCCGTTAACAGTGATACACAACCATTTTCTTCTCGCAAAGCCAAAACATATTGCATAATTTGTTTGCTTTCATTTTCAATTTCATTTGTGCAATTAGTGTATTCAACTTAGGATTTACATCCTCCTTTTTTGGTGGCGTTCCTCCTTTCAATATTTTACGATTCCTCCTTAATTCCTCATTTTTAGAAAAAGCTCAGTAAGAAGCCAGTGGATCATCTGTAAAGTGGATTCAAACAGGAAACGGTTCCTTATACATCAGTTATAAATTTTAATAGGAAAAAGAAAATTTTAAAAGATGGCCAATTCCTTAAGAAAACGTCCTCCATCCTTTCATTTTCGTATCTCCTGTCCATCTTTAGAAACAATAAGAGCTCTCTGCAGCCTAGATGTATAGCACTAAAATATAATCCTTTAACGATAAATGTGGCTAGGTACAGTTTAAAATTCTGCATGTTTTGATACAAACTCTGAATTTGTCTGTATGCCTTATCAGGTACGAAAACATTTAAACATTTAATTTCGAATTATGAATATTTTCTAACAGTAATTCACTAAGTACTAATCTGTACAACGAAATAAATTCGAGACAGCCTCTTTTTGATGAGACAGTGATTAGTCGAAAGTTGAACAGTGAATGGTGAAAAGGGTGCATAAAAAACATATGTCGTTTTTGAAATTTGAATCCATACAGCGGTCGTTCAGTGTTTTCTATAATTTAAAACAAGTCATTTGTCTTAACAAATCAATAAGACCTTAAAAAAAAATTTTAAATAAATTTTAGTATGATTCACCTGTTAAACGGTCAAATACAACTCACAAATAGATTTTTTTATTTATTTTTGTTAATAATAATAATCAAATACAATCGGTGCATTTAAGATATTGTCATCTTTTACAGCGACGTTTAAAAACAATGTTTCATGGATATTTTGATTACTTTTATTATCAGACAACGAGGACGGTAAGAGTGATTGATGATTTTGTCGTTTTTCTTTAAGAAATTGTATTAAATTTTGATTATCCATTGTACGATACAAACTAGCACCGTACTGACTATGCATGTGTCCAAATAAACTAACACGAGGTTTGACCCGAGTAACAATTTCATCGAGTAATCCGGGACATCCAACACGTTGAATAGAATGTGGACTATAATCACGAATACTGTACGGTGGCACGTGTGTTATTAAAATATCAATACCATCGGGTATATGTGACCATATATCTTGTTGTATGTTTTTATGATCATAACCGAAGGCTTCAGCACAAAAACAACAACCTCGAGCTGGACGCCATGGACTACCATAAATTTGTATTCCTTCAATATTTGTTGATGAATCTTGTAAATAAATTAAATTTGATAATATTTGTTGTGTTTGTTCTGAATGTTTTTCATCAATACATGTCTCGTGATTACCTGAGATAAATATTTTATATTTATGAGGTAATGTACCAATAAATCGATTAAATCTTGGTAAATCACGTTTAGCTGTATAAAATTTACAAGCATCACCACAATGCAATAGCACATCACCATTTGGTATCGTTAAACGATGAATCTGATTGTGTGTATCAGACATACAAACAAATCGTAGACGTCTTAAATGATCGTTTGTTGTTGTTGTAATAACATTAGTTTTATGTTTATATACAACAAATGGCTCTTGTTCTGTTCCAGTACCTTTGATTACTGGATCAATATTGGATGATAGTACTGAAATTTGCTTGTTTTTGTTGTTGAACTCATCGGGCGGTATATTGGATAAATGTTGTAAAACTGCATGTGAATGATCATCGGGCTCTGGAGTATTACACCACCCGCAAAATTTATATGTTGATGGTGAGAACATTCTAGAAAATTCAGAAATACACACAGAAAAAAAAGAATTAGCTTGATAAAGCGTAAAATCGAAAGTCATAGCATAAAAAACATTCAAAAATATCTTGGAATAGAAAATCCATGAGAAAGTAGGGTTCTTCTTTTTTGAAAACGTACCACGTTTACAAAGGCTTTATCCCAACAGTTCGAAAATAATCGAACTAGTACAACTCGACCTCCTGATGACGAATATCACATTTTAAAACAACGGCGTTGTGACTTTCTAGACCGGTGGAGATCCCATTTCCCAGCAAAACAAACCTTTTCTGGTCATTTTTAACATTTTTTAGCGAAACACTTTCATGAGCTGGGTACTGTCAGATTAGAATCTATATGTGCAGCGCTGCAAAATTCCTAACGGGTAAAAAGCTCCAAAATGCTAAACATGTTCTGAGGAGAGTTTTTAAAAAAATCGTCGTATCGTTGCACGGGATTGCAAGACGTGGAATGACATATATTTCGCATGTACTCGACCTGGCTATTATAAAAACAAGTTTTGCCTCTGCCAATCACATTCAGAAAAAGTGTTTTTCCAGCAAAAATACCACAAGATTTTCGTGCGTTTCAGGAGTGCTTGGGCAAAGATAAAAGCCTGTTTTTATAATAGTCCAAGTCGAGTACATGCGAAGTATATGTCATCCCACGTCCTGCAATCCTGTGCAATGGTGCAGCACGTGCTCAAACTTTGAAAAACGAGAAAAATCGCCTTAAAAAGTTGTTTTTTCTATCATTAGATGGTCTTTAATCTCAATGAGAACCACTTCAACGGATAGACCTTGAAAAGATGCGTCAAATGCATATCTGTGTTGACATAATTTTGTGGGGGAAATATGGTTTACAAAACAGGCCGACTTTTCAGAAAAAGATTGTTTTAAAAGTTCTTCTGCGAACGTGCTTAGCATTTGGAAGCTTTTTATCCGTTAGGAATTTTGCAGCGCTGCACATATAGATTCTAATCTGACGGTACCGGCTCATGAAAGTGTATCGCTAAAAAATGTTGAAAATGACCAGAAAAGGTTTGTTCTGTTGGGAAATGGGATCTCCACAGGTCTAGCAGGCCACGATACCGTTGTTTTAAACGTGATATTCGTCATTTGGAGCTCGAGTTGTACTTCGGGGTGGCACGTTCCCGTTCCTTTCCAGAGTAACAGTAAAGTGGTATCTTTTATTTCAAAAGTAAAGAGTAAAGATATAATTCATACCTTTTCTTTCCTAAGAAAAAGGAAAGTGGCACGTTTTCTTTAAAAAAAAGGAAAGCAATATCTTTTCTTTTGCATGAAAAAGACTTTTATTAAAAGTGCAAAAAGTTTTTTTCTTGAAAAAAGAAAATATATCACTTTTTTTTCTTTTAGAAAAGAAAAGGTACCAGTTTCCTTTTTCTAAGGAAAGAAAAGATATGCATTATATCTTTACGCTTTTTTGTTATAAATAAAAAGAAAACCGTTTCTCTTGTTCATAAAAAAAGCGGTAGGAAACGGAAAGTGCCACTCCTAGTTGTACTAGTCCTATTACTTTCGAACTGTTGAGATAAAGTCGACAGAAACTCTGGCACTCTTTCAAACGAGTGACCCATTACCGTAAGTTGCACGTTGTAAAGAAAAACTGTAAGATAAAATGTGTGAATGCCAAAACCGCGAACAATACCCCTAGAAGTGTAAAGTATGAAATAAAACTCTTGACAGAATAACTGTAAGAACGAATATAAAAGCAAATACAAGAGAAAAAGCTATGAGCTTAGAAAGTCTCTCAATTTTTTTTTCTATTCGGCAAATTTTAACGTTTCAAATGTTTCTTCTCCTACAAATGGATGCATAACTGCATCAGACTCATTTTGAAGAGTATCCCAAAACAGTAATTTTTCAATATTATCCTTGTCCAGTCCTTGTCGAAAAAATGACCGAGTTGAATAATGAAATCTCTTGCTATTGACAAGTATTTTAAATCATCTATTTCTGCTTTCAAATCCAGAATTTCTTTCAATAATTTTTCCAATAAATCTAAAAAGTCGTTTAACAATAATAAGACTTTCATTTATTCGTTCATTATCATTAACACGATAGGAAGATGCGGTGATATTCATAACTGTTTTTTCCACTTTAGCAAAATATGGTGAACTTTGTTTATACGTCTGATGTTCAGCCAGTCCCTGTACAATTATTTGCAACATCAAAGGATTTTTCCTTTGAACTGAAAAACTCCTTTGATAGTGTAATCCGAAGTTGAACAATGCCATCCTACGAAGTACATACAAAAAAAGACAAACTACTTATAAATTCCTCAAAAACGGTTCCATTTGACCGCTAAGCGGCTCAAAAAATCAGCGTTCTTACTTTTTCGCTGAGAGGATCGGGTGAATCTCAAGGCAAATGCTCGGACATGAAAGGGACAGTACCATCATCCATTCAGTGCCTTTCCTAAAACTGTTTTCGAGTTCTCATAGTTATTTGTAGTTATCAATGTATGAATTATTCGAAACACATAACGTGTTCTATCAGAAGATGATTTACCACTAAATTTATAAAGCAAACGTAACTCGAAGCGAAAAAGACAGATGTTACACATACTTAACAAAACGCCAAAGTAGCACGTTTTCCTTAGCCTGGCATAAATCAAAAGTAAAAGGATATAATTTTGCCGTTAACTTGTTTTTAGCCATAAACAAAAGCGTCCATGGAATGTCAGATTAATCGTAGTACTCCCATTGGTGTATAATACACCATAAAACAAGTCGAAAGATGTCGCGTCCTTCTGATAATAATGTTAAAAGCTACTGCGTCACAGCATTGTCTTTCATTTTCTGCTCCAGAAAAAGATTCATATATCCTTTTCGTCACGCTGGTTCTATTTCTGAGCTTCTTTTCACGAAAAAACTGCTTCCAGATTTGAAACCGGCATTCTATTCAGTGTTTTATCACGCTTTATGTGACTTTTTGTTGGTTGGGTGAAACTTGGACAATGTCACAATGTCGATAGACAGAACGTAGAAAAAAAATTTGTGTAACTTATTCTATGGACTATGTAATATCTGAACAGCTTCCTGATAACATATATACAATATAAATTCGTAAGAGAAAGCAATAAAACAGAGTGTCGTTATCTATATATACAAATATAAATATATATATAGATATGTTTGCCTGTGTGTCTGTTTGTCTGTTCTTCATGCATTTGGTCCCTGGAAGAGCTAGCGTCACCAAACTTTCCATGGCATACCCTTAGGTCCAGAGGAAGGTCGAGATGGGGTCGGTGAGGGTGGGGGTGAGAAACTCCTGGCTTTTCTCATGGCCAACTTTACGTGGCGTGTTCAAGAGTCGGAACTGGGAAGAATTTGTATTGCGAAAACCAGGAAGGTTGTGTATCAAAGAGCTTTGCAATAAAAATTGTATTTCATTGGACATAGTCATTTTTTAAAAGAAGCCGATCAAACAAAAAGAACATCGAAAAGGATAGAAATGTTTTTAAAAAGTTTAAAATGACGAAAACAAAAAAGTTCAAAAGGAAAAGTGATCGGAGAGCATTTTGCGATATCGAAGTCCGATAAGTGATAGGAGATCATAACGATGTCTTTTTCTAATATGTCAAGTATGTAATATCAAATTTTCCCGAGCAACGCCGGGTACCTCAGCTTCTAAAATGGGCCAATGGAAATACTGGCAGTAAGGGGATACTTCCTATATCCTGATTGGGAAGTATACCCGATCGGAATATGTTTCTGCACTGACTGGGGAAGTTGTGCGTTTAACATTTGCGCGTAGCTTTCCTGAACCTCTATTGGTGAAGATAAGTCATCACCAAAAGCATCATCACCGAATTCAATAGCCATTTTATTTTGTGGTCTTTTGGCCTCTACGAAGACGTGTTATAACTTAACCTTACCAAAGATCTTGGTCCAAGAAATACCAAAATCTTGCCATTTCTTGTCCAAGGAACAATCTTTTTATCATCTTGGCCTAGAAATACTTCTTGGGCTTTCGTGTGCATTTCTTGGGGCAAGAAAACTATTTCTATTATTTCTACTATTAAAATTTTCTTAGGTGTTTCTTGATGCAAGAAACTATGCTGTTGCATGTATTTCTAGCCTTGCTGACAAGAAAGAAACAAAAAAATGAAATGCCAGGATCGAAATTTGAACATGCAATGCAGTGAGATAGTCTAGCTTATAATATTCAGAGTTCCACGCCTTATACCACTCAGTCACTCTACTTCGGTATCTTCTTCTCTTTCACCAGTTCGAATATGAGGCCAAACCTCGAACGTATCGAAAAATAAATAATTAGGATGTATCTGATCAAGCAAGCATCCGAGAAAGTTATAGCTGGAACAAAAAATGTTCAGATTAGATTCTGCATCGAATAAAACCCATACATGTTTTTCTCAGCAGTGAGACATAGTAGACTTTCGAGCACACAACAAACTTTTTACAAGCAAAAAGGATTTTTGGCCCACAACTTAATGGATACGTTGCTGTTCAAGGCTCAGGTTAAAGTGTTTTTGTACAAGTAACCAAGTTGTTTGATGAAAATTTGGTGATCTGTAATGTTTCTTTATTATATATACAGTGAATTTCTCTTTTGTTTCTTAGGTTAACTCCAGATTCTACTCCTAGATTCTACAATTCTAAAATTCTGGATTCTATAAATGCACTATTCTGTAGTTTGATTTCATGTATGTTTCATGTGCTGCATACAAGCGGCGTGTACTAGAATATTATAATGATAGTTATGTGATGATCGTTTGTAAACCAATTGGTCACTACTATCAATCTCCAATACTATGTAGTGGTATCTTTTTGTTCTAAATCAAAAAGTTAATAGAAATAGACTGAACATAGCGATATGACTCTCACATGATTTTGTTTCTTTTAGATACAGTTGCAAAAAAGAGAAAATCTCGCGGATCACCAGCACCAGTTTTTCATAAGCATGACGCTGATCGAAAAAATGCATCAAAATTATTTATTGAATTTAGAGA